CACTATTTCTTCACCAAACTTGGCACATAGATAGATCTTGTGGTGTACTGGTGCCTTTTGGTAGTTTTGGATTTCTGAATAAAATATTTTTTGCGTTTCCATGTCAACAAGTTTTACTTAGACTGAAATTGGTGGTAGTACTCTTTTCTGGAGCGGAACTTTAAAACTGTTCACTGTTTCATCACCAAATTACATACATAGGTAGGTCTAGTGGTGAACTACCTTTTGGTAGTTTTGATTTCTGAATAAAATATTGATTTTGTGTGTGTTTCCATGGCAACAATTTTGATTCAACTGAATTTGGTGGTAGGTCTCCTTTCTGGAGCAGAACTTTGAAACCTTTCAGGACTCTCCTTCCACTTAGCTATATACATGCCAACACATTTGACATAGTCATAACTTGTAGACATATTCATTAAGAGTATTTTGCCATTGCGGGGGATATTGATGACTTTGTCTTCTTGTTGCCATGGAAACGCCAAAAATATTTCATTCAGAAATCCAAAACTACCAAAAAGCACCTGTACACCACCCAGACCAATCTATGTGCCAAGTTTGATGAAGAAATAGTGAACAGTTTTAGAGTTCTGCTACTGAAAAGAGCACAATCACCAATTTCAATCTAAGTCAAAATTGTTGCTATGGAAACGCCAAAAATATTTTATTCAGAAATCCAAAACTACCAAAAGGCACCAGCACACCACCAGACCAATCTATGTGCCAAGTTTGGTGAAGAAACATTGAACGGTTTTAGAGTTCTGCTCCGGAAAGGACAAATGTGCACGGACGGACGGACGGAGTCCATTTTAGTACCCCCTGCAAACATGTTGTGGGGGATAACAATGTCAATGTCAGAACATGTCAAATAATTATTTTGTTACTGTTTCAATAAATATTTTTAGAGATTTTTAACCGAGGGTGTTTCCGTATCATTAATATCATATATTAGTAATATAAATTGTATTGTGCGAGCCTTTGGCTAGGGTTAGAATGTAATGTCATTCTTAAAATTGCTCTAAAAAAGAAGGAAATCGTACGTCAATTTATATATATGAAGAAAATCCAGCATCGCGTAAGAATGCTTAGCGGTACACCAAGGAGAAGGTCGTTCAAGACATCAGCATATGGTTGTGACTAATTGCTAATACAGTGCAAACTTAACTCATGTCTAAAATAAGATCTTTCTGTCTAAAAAGAACAACAAAATCAGGCAGGGCTTTCTTGGTAGTGTTTCTATTTTCATTGTGGATAATCACATTATCAATATCAGTTTCTGATACCTGACGGAATCGATTCGTCGTCTTCTTTGTTGTGATCGATAGATCGAAATCCTTGGTTGGTACCTTTCTTAGATGATAGCTTGTCACTCATGCCACATAATCCGTACCTTCAATTTGAACCAAGTTCTCTGTTTCATGTTGTCCAAAGTCAATTACTGCAGTAACGACTCCAGAACCTCTGTCATCAATTCTTACAGAATCACCAATTTTGATAATGGGGGCAATCATGTTTGTTTACAAACTCGTCCATGCAATGTAAACTCGCGACGACGTCCTCAATGAAATGTTTAACGTTTTAGGATTCACATGGCATGTATGGAGTTTTGAGATAGTAGTTTGACGTTATTTGCATAGTTATCAGATTTGGATACCAAGTTTATCTGATTGCTTTATTGCACCGATAACACCCTCCATTAGATGATACTAAGTAATACATCAAATGCTTGTATATTATTGTATTCGTTAGCCAGTATTCATGGTCATACCTAATATTTGTGATATGTGGCATGTTCACCTCTTAGTGTACATAATAGTATTGAATGAAGTGTTAACATAAGATACCTCCTCTGAATGCAGGAAAATAAGAACTTAAAAATAATCCCAAGTTTGGTCAATACAAATGTGTTTTCCCAATTGCCTGCTGGGGGCTGGCAGTTTTCCATCCCATATAAGTCCTTTAGATAATGGTAGAGGAATGTCCATGTCAGGGATGTTAAGTGTTTGTAGACACATGATAGACGTGCCTGTATTGTTAACATATGCGTGATATCGGGTCATGGCTTGATTGTTATGCTTTACAAAATGTCTAAACATACCAACATGGAACCAAAAAGGTTAAAAGAATTTCATGAAAACAATGGGAAAACAATTAATTCATGAAGTGTAATCTTTTTTAATATTTCTTAAACATTAAGTCGTTGTCCTTGATTGTGCCAAGATACTAAATTATGTAAAGATTTCTGTTTTCATATTTTAGCTAGTTATCTCCCCTGGCGCAATAACATTTAATGCTCCTGAAATCAACAATAAATTCCTATGTTCTTTCACATTTAACTGGAGGTTTTTCTGTTGGCAGCAGGTAACAAATTTACTGTCTATAATACTGTTCAGGTAACAAATTTACTGTCTGTAATACTGTTCAGGTAACAAATTAACTGTCTGTAATGCTGTTCAGGTAACAAATTTACTGTCTGTAATGCTGTTCAGGTAACAAATTTACTGTCTGTAATGCTGTTCAGAAAACAAATTTACTGTCTGTAATACTGTTCAGAAAACAAATTTACTGTCTGTAATGCTGTTCAGAAAACAAATTTACTGTCTGTAATGCTGTTCAGAAAACAAATTTACTGTCTGTAATGCTGTTCAAAACAAATTTACTGTCTGTAATGCTGTTTTTACTGTCTGTCTGTAATACTGTTCAGAAAACAAATTTACTGTCTGTAATACTGTTCAGAAAACAAATTTACTGTCTGTAATTGTTCAGAAAACAAATTTACTGTCTGTAATGCTGTTCAGAAAACAAATTTACTGTCTGTAATACTATTCAGAAAACAAATTTACTGTCTGTAATACTGTTCAGAAAACAAATTTACTGTCTGTAATGCTGTTCAGGTAACAAATTTACTGTCTGTAATGCTGTTCAGAAAACAAATTTACTGTCTGTAATGCTGTTCAGAAAACAAATTTACTGTCTGTAATGCTGTTCAGGTAACAAATTTACTGTCTGTAATGCTGTTCAGGCAACAAATTTACTGTCTGTAATGCTGTTCAGGTAACAAATTTACTGTCTGTAATGCTGTTCAGGTAACAAATTTACTGTCTGTAATACTGTTCAGAAAACAAATTTACTGTCTGTAATGCTGTTCAGAAAACAAATTTACTGTCTGTAATGCTGTTCAGAAAACAAATTTACTGTCTGTAATACTGTTCAGAAAACAAATTTACTGTCTGTAATACTGTTCAGAAAACAAATTTAATCTGTACATGCTGTTCAGAGAAACAAATTTTACTGTCTGTAATGCTTAAAACAAATTGTCTGTAATGCTGTTCAGAAAACAAATTTACTGTCTGTAATGCTGTTCAGAAAACAAATTTACTGTCTGTAATGCTGTTCAGAAAACAAATTTACTGTCTGTAATCTGTTCAGGTCTGTAATACTGTTCAGGTAAACAAATTACTGTCTGTAATGCTGTTCAGGTAACAAATTTACTGTCTGTAATGCTGTTCAGGTAACAAATTTACTGTCTGTAATGCTGTTCAGTTTACTGTCTGTAATGCTGTTCAGGTAACAAATGTCTACTGTTCTGTAACAAATTTACTGTCTGTAATGCTGTTCATAAATTTACTGTCTGTAATACTGTTCAGGTAACAAATTTACTGTCTGTAATGCTGTTCAGGTAACAAATTTACTGTCTGTAATGCTGTTCAGGTAACAAATTTACTGTCTGTAATACTGTTCAGGTAACAAATTTACTGTCTGTAATGCTGTTCAGGTAACAAATTTACTGTCTGTAATGCTGTTCAGGTAACAAATTTACTGTCTGTAATGCTGTTCAGGTAACAAATTTACTGTCTGTAATACTGTTCAGGTAACAAATTTACTGTCTGTAATGCTGTTTTTTTTCTACAATCAGCCTGATCCAAGTTACATCATGTTTTACAATCAGGCTATCTGTCTGAGTAATGGCTTTCTCAATCATTTGTGTGATGAATGCCGGGTATGGAGAGTAAATAACACCACCTTGTGGGACCCCAATGGTGGTATACACAGTAGATGGGTGGGCAGGAATCACAAACTGTGGCCTGCAAATCAAGCAGTTTCTGACCAATGATAGAAGAGTTGTGTTATCATTCAGGGCTAAAAACAAGGTTCAGGGAATTGTGAAGCTGATTGGTTTGAAGAGCAGATGAGAGGTCAACTAAGATATTAGGGACAGTTTTGAATTTTTGTAATATTAATTTTGATTATATTTAGTAATGTTATGCTTATAATTTCTCAATAATTTTGCATAATGACCTCTAGTTGTGTCAGTTTTGCAAAGTTTACGCTCAGAATGACCATTGAAAACCTGGCTCAGAATCAAAAGCAGTACAATGCACATAATGGTTTAATTGGATAGAATAGATTAAGTTAGTGCAGTTTTGATTTGCATTGTTTTTAAGACAAACCTTCAACTGATTATGTTATCAATGGCTTTCTATTCTGTTGCCCCTTTTTTTGATATTGTGATTAATGAAAGATAGAAAACGTATTGTGCACTCAAATTGTAGATACGTTGCATTAATTTTGGGACAAGAAAATTTGAGAGTTTACTTGTTATGAAGTGAGAAATCATCTTACATCAATGTATTATTCCAGTGAATTTGCCCTCTGTGTATGGTAATAGTGTGTTAAAGGCGAGAATTTATGGATGTCAATAGATTCATGTGAACGTCTTTACTTGTGGAACACATTGTTTCGGAGTATATTCTTACTCATTCATCAGGTGAGTGAAAGACTAGGAAACAGATGGCTATATAAGTACATCACTAGATGTGAAACAACAACAGTGATAAGACAACAAGGGAAGCCAGTAGTTCTACTTGTAGGGTGTTTAGATATTTGAATTAGGATGTTTTACATATTCCATTGAAATGAGCAAGATAAGCTACAGAAGCATGTGGTTGTACTTGTTTCCTTCATGGACATTAACACTTTCCTATTCATTGTCTTTATTTCAGTGTCTGACACTGAGCAATGTGCTTGAGTTATATGGCTTTCAATCAACACCAACGTTCAACATGACCTCCATCCAAGCTATTTCCCCCGGCTTGCTGTACATGATCACACAGAGCTGTAGCAGCATTCCTGGCAGTCCTGACATGGAACACACCGGTACCAATACACCACTAGCAGGTCAGTATGGGGGGACTTTGGGGGGGACGGAATCCATCCCCTGTAACACTTGTAGAAGGTGACTCACACAACACCACCATTAGCGTCACCAACAGGTCAGTACATCTCACACCACCATCACCAACAGGTCAATACATCTCACACCACCCATCTCACACCACCATCGCCAACAGGTCAGTACATCTCACACCACCATCACCAACAGGTCAGTACATCTCGCACCACCATCACCAACAGGTCAGTACATCTCACACCACCATCACCAACAGGTCAGTACATCTCACACCACCATCACCAACAGGTCAGTACATCTCACACCACCATCACCAACAGGTCGGTATCACCATCACAACAGGTCAGTACATCTCACACCACCATCACCAACAGGTCAGTACATCTCACACCACCATCACCAACAGGTCAGTACATCTCACACCACCATCACCAACAGGTCAGTACATCTCACACCATCACCAACAGGTCAGTACATCTCACACCACCAACAGGTCAGTACATCTCACACAGGTCAGTACATCTCACACCATCCCCAACAGGTCAGTACATCTCACACCACCATCACCAACAGGTCAGTACATCTCACACCACCATCACCAACAGATCAGTACATCTCACACCACCATCACCAACAGGTCAGTACATCTCACACCACCATCACCAACAGGTCAGTACATCTCACACCACCATCACCAACAGGTCAGTACATCTCACACCACCATCACCAACACACCACCATCACCAAATAGGTCGGTACATCTCACACCACCATCACCAACAGGTCAGTACATCTCACACCACCCATCACCAACAGATCATTACATCTCACACCACCATCACCAACAGGTCAGTACATCACCAACAGGTCAGTACATCTCACACCACCATCACCAACAGGTCAGTACATCTCACACCACCATCACCAACAGGTCAGTACATCTCACACCACCATCACCAACAGGTCAGTACATCTCACACCACCATCACCAACAGGTCAGTGCCTCTCACATCAATACCACTTTCAACAGGTCATGAATGTCCACATACCTTCTCTCTAACAGGTGAGGTGAGGTGAAATTGGGTTTAACGTCGTGCTTGAGGATATTTCGCTCATATGACGACCTGCATGCGTGTGTATGTGTATGTGTGGCTGCTTGTACTAGCCCAGACTGAAGCTGGTTTTATAGTGCTAGCCCACTGAGATACCATGCTGCAGTGAAGCATGAATACCCCACTCAGACACATTATACTGACTCCAAGCCGACCAGTCCTTGTTGTGCCCATTAATGCCGAGCACCAGGCAGGGACCAACAAGTACCATATTATAATGTCTTTTGGTATGACACGCTCTAACCACTACACCACGGAGGCGGTCTTCTCTCTAACAGGGGCGGTGGGGTAGTCTTATTGTCAAAGTGTCCGCTCCTCATGCTGAAGACCCGGGTTCGATTCCCCACATGGGTACAATGTGTGAAGCCCATTTCTGGTGTCCCCCCGCCGTGATATGGCTGGAATATTGCTAAAAGCGGCGTAAAACCATACTCACTCACTCACTCTCTCTCTCTAACAGGATCTCCACACTTAACATGTTGTTTTCAGCTAGAAAGTAATAGTAGAAATAGAGAACCATCTCCTCCTGTGTTGCAGTGTGGGGCTACGGCATTTTGTTCGTGACCCTCATCAATCTGTGCTCTCTGGTGGGAGTGATTGTGCTGCCATTCATGAAAATGGCGATATACAAGCAGATCCTCATCTTCATGGTCGCCTTGGCTGTTGGAGCCCTAGCAGGGAGTGGGCTGCTGTTCCTCATCCCAGAGGTAGGTGAAACCAGTAACCTTGCCTTTGGTCATGCTGTATTGAGTTAGGTTGGCAGTGCATGATGATAGCTTGGAGCAGTTCTGTACCATTGCTTCTTTCAAGTGGGAGAGTGACACAACTCAAATGAAATAGCTTTCAAAATTTGCTTTTCAGTTTAGGGTATAAAATTTAGCCAAACCCAAAGAGGTTTTCAATTTTTCTAAGAGAGTCTTCCTTGGGGTACTTATATGCATTTTCTGAATATGTCCTGTTACAGTTGTCACAATGTTTTAAGTAAACTATTGTAAATTAAAAACTTGTTTTATTCTGTTACTCCGAGTGGCCTCCCCTAGCATGCATGTGCCTGTAGCCAGAAGTACTCCTTCCCCAAATCATCATTACTCCTGCAGACAATAAATATCAGAGAACAGAATTGTGGGGAGGTCATACCCCATGATGGCCGGTGACCCGAGTTCGTACCCATTTCTGTCTTAGGACATGTTAATGATCATATAAATTACATGACCTTTGGTGGAGGATGACCCAACCTGACCCAAAAGGGCTGTAAGGCTTTACACGATGTTGTGATTTGAAACTTCAGTGCAAATATCAATAATTAGAAATAAACATCATGTGTTGGCCAATTTCCGGGTGTTATTGAGTATTTGAAGCATGGGAATTCATTTGGAACCGACGGCGTCAGCCAGGAGGTTTCAAATGGATTATTCCTGTCCTTCAAATACTCAATAACACCTGGAAATTGGCCAACACATGATGTTTATCGACATTGTAAACACAAAAGTAAACCAAAAGGTCCACACACGTTTTTGTGTCTGCACTTTTTGACATAGAGTACGGGTACAGCAGTGCAATGTCATCAGCCGGCCGTTTCGGCTGTCTCCCATGGTAGCATCTGGAACTGCTCATTTGTGACGTCATTCGGACTTTACGTCACAATATGATTTGAATGACATCATCTCAGCTGACGACGTAACAATACAATGGTGTAAGCGATGTTTGTATGTATTAATACGCAGCGAATTTCCGGGAATCGAATACCATTTGATCACGTTTTTCAACCAATCAGATTAAAGAACACAGTGACTTTTGGTTTACAATAGACATTGAACACAGATCCAATACTAATGACCAGACTCACTTGCCACTGGAGACATCTGATTGACCGAACTGAGCATGATCCCTAGAATGCACGTTGAGTTGCGATGGTGAATGAAGGTGCTGGGCTGATCTCTTCAATGATCACTGCCGCTGTGTACACCTTATCAGTGGCAACTGCCCTGACCGAATGAGCCTTCAACCCCTCAGGAGAAGGCTTAGCCTTAGCATTGTAAGCCGAACAAATCATGGAACCAAGTCAACAGGAAATAGTCTGCTTGCTAGCAGGTTCCCCAGCCTTCCTGCTGTTACGGTTGGATGTCCCTTCTGTTAATTTTGTCACAGAACGTAGTGCCCCCATGTTGAAGGATGGAAATTCTGTCATGTGATGCAACACTTCGGGGTTGAGCATAGTACAGAAGCTGTCAATCTTCTTGGTAGTAACCCAGGTGTTCCTCGCCCAGTGGTACATGATCTATAGAGGTCTAGGTAGTAACAGGTGTTCCTCACCCAGTGGTACATGATCTATAGAGGTCTTGGTAGTAACCCAGGTGTTCCTCGCCCAGTGGTACATGATCTATAGAGGTCTTGGTAGTAACCCAGGTGTTCCTTGCCCAGTGGTACATGATCTATAGAGGTCTTGGTAGTAACCCAGTGGTGTTCCTCATGCAGTGGTACATGATCTATAGGGTCTTGGTAGATCTAAGATGTCTTGGTAGTAACCCAGGTGTTCCTCACCCAGTGGTCCATGATCTATAGAGGTCTATGGTACATGATCTATAGTCTTGGTAGTAACCCAGGTGTTCCTCAGTGGTACATGATCTACCTTGTGGTACTATATGTCTCTATAAGAGTGGTACATGATCTATAGAGGTCTTGGTAGTAACCCAGGTGTTCCTCACGCAGTGGTACATGATCTATAGATGTCTTGGTAGTAACCCAGGTGGTAGTGTGGTAGATCTATAGAGGTCTTGGTAGTAACCCAGGTGTTCCTCACATGATCTATAGATGTTGGTACATGTTCCTCATGCATCTATAGAGGTCTTGGTAGTTACCCAGGTGTTCCTCACGCATCTATGGTACATGATCTATAGAGGTCTTGGTAGTAACCCAGGTGTTCCCAGGTGTTCCTCACCCAGTGGTACATGATCTATAGAGGTCTTGGTAGTAACCCAGGTGTTCCTCACCCAGTGGTACATGATCTATAGAGGTCGTCAATCTTCTTGGTAGTAACCCAGGTGTTCCTCACCCAGTGGTACATGATCTATAGAGGTCGTCAATCTTCTTGGTAGTAACCCAGGTGTTCCTCACCCAGTGGTACATGATCTATAGAGGTCTTGGTAGTAACCCAGGTGTTCCTCACGCATTGGTACATGATCTATAGAGGTCTTGGTAGTTACCCAGGTGTTCCTCACGCAGTGGTACATGATCTATAGAGGTCTTGGTAGTAACCCAGGTGTTCCTCACCCAGTGGTACATGATCTATAGAGGTCTTGGTAGTAATCCAGGTGTTCCTCACCCAGTGGTACATGATCAATAGAGGTCTTGGTAGTAACCCAGGTGTTCCTCACCCAGTGGTACATGATCTATAGAGGTCTTGGTAGTAACCCAGGTGTTCCTCACCCAGTGGTACATGATCTATAGAGGTCGTCAATCTTCTTGGTAGTAACCCAGGTGTTCTTCACGCAGTGGTACATGATCTATAGAGGTCTTGAAGATTCTGATTGGAGCTACAAGCAACATCTTGAGATCCTATGAGCCCTTGCCCTGTGTGGACAGAATGTACCAGAAAACTGAGAACTCTGGGCAACCTCACTTCAACTGTGGTAAATGATCTTCCTTGAGTTTTGATAGCACTCCCGCTCAGGGCCTCCCGCTCCCGCTCAGGGCCTCCCGCTCCCGCTCAGGGCCTCCCGCTCCCGCTCAGGGCCTCCCACTCCCACTCAGGGCCTCCCACTCCCACTCAGGGCCTCCCGCTCTCCCACTCAGGGCCTCCACCTCCCGCTCAGGGCCTCCCGCTCCCACTCAGGGCCTCCCACTCCCACTCAGAAATAGACAGCCACCCACAGAAAGATGTCAGACAAGGGGGTTGGGGGGTTGAGGCAGCCCTTTGTTGGGTGTGCAACAGAGAGCTTAAATACAATTGTTGAATACAAGCAAGTTTCATGTAGTGCGAACCGTGATCGAAACAGTTTCATAGGCAGCAGAGGTGTACTCCTGTCTATCACATGTTGACTATAGAGTGACAGCAGAAGGTATGGTGATTTGGGGAAGGTGTACTCCTGTCTATCACATGTTGACTATAGAGTGACAGCAGAAGGTATGGTGATTTGGGGAAGGTGTACTCCTGTCTATCACATGTTGACTATAGAGTGACAGCAGAAGGTATGGTGATGTGGGGAAGGTGTACTCCTGTCTATCACATGTTGACTATAGAGTGACAGCAGAAGGTATGGTGATGTGGAGTTGACTATAGAGTGAAGGTGTACTCCTGTCTATCACATGTTGACTATAGAGTGACAGCAGAAGGTATGGTGATTTGGGAAGTGGTGTGATTTGGGACTCCTGTCTATCACATGTTGACTATAGAGTGACAGCAGAAGGTATGGTGATGTGGGGAAGGTGTACTCCTGTCTATCACATGTTGACTATAGAGTGACAGCAGAAGGTATGGTGATGTGGAGAAGGTGTACTCCTGTCTATCACATGTTGACTATAGAGTGACAGCAGAAGGTATGGTGATGTGGGGAAGGTGTACTCCTGTCTATCACATGTTGACTATAGAGTGACAGCAGAAGGTATGGTGATGTGGAGAAGGTGTACTCCTGTCTATCACATGTTGACTATAGAGTGACAGCAGAAGGTATGGTGATGTGGGGAAGGTGTACTCCTGTCTATCACATGTTGACTATAGAGTGACAGCAGAAGGTATGGTGATGTGGGGAAGGTGTACTCCTGTCTATCACATGTTGACTATAGAGTGACAGCAGATGGTATGGTGATGTGGAGAAGGTGTACTCCTGTCTATCACATGTTGACTATAGAGTGACAGCAGATGGTATGGTGATGTGGGGAAGGTGTACTCCTGTCTATCACATGTTGACTATAGAGTGACAGCAGATGGTATGGTGATGTGGGGAAGGTGTACTCCTGTCTATCACATGTTGACTATAGAGTGACAGCAGAAGGTATGGTGATGTGGGGAAGGTGTACTCCTGTCTATCACATGTTGACTATAGAGTGACAGCAGAAGGTATGGTGATGTGGGGAAGGTGTACTCCTGTCTATCACATGTTGACTATAGAGTGACAGCAGAAGGTATAGAGTGACAGCAGAAGGTAATGTGATGTGGGGAAGGTGTACTCCTGTCTATCACATGTTGACTATAGAGTGACAGCAGAAGGTATGGTGATTTGGGGAAGCCGTATAACAGATAATGAGTGAGTGAGTTTCGTCTTACACCACTTTCAGTAATATTCCAGCTATATGGAGGCGAGGAACACAAGAGGGCTTCACACATTGTACCCATTTGGGGAATCGAACACGGGTCTTTGGCGTGATGAGCAGACACTTTACACCCATCAACTATCGCACCACCTCGTGTAACAGATGACAAATAAGTTCTTTATTTGTAGAATATTTTTTATTAACACATTGTTAGAACTGTCAGAGGACTTTTCAGCAGTAGAAAATACATATATATCCCAAGGACGTCCTCTTCTGAGAACGAATGGTGTTTTCAAGAACGTGACTGACTCAACATCTCAACAGCTTAACTTCATGTGCAATCCTTTAAATCAAGACCAAAAGGTATCAAACTTGAAATAATGATGAGTTTAGTTTTGAGTGGCTGATATACCAACGGTACATGATGCCTGTCTCATGAGGAAAATGTGTTTTATGTCTTAATGTCCATTAGAAACCCCTGTCTGTTCCCTCTGTGTTTGATGTCTTCTCTTTTATTACCAAAGGGGCCATGCAGTCTGTATAGATAATGTCTGCTGAATAGGGTGAACCATGATTATAGCTGGTCACTCATCACAGCAATTTGCTGGGCAGAGTTGTGGCCCTTGGGCATGACAGAAACCCATGATTGCACATTCAATCCCAGCATGCCTGGTTATGTTTATAGGTCTCAGTACCATACACATTCATATTGGGTCACCCAAACTGTAACAGCTTGAGACCTGAGTCAGTATTCATTTACAGTTTTAGAAAACAGCATTTCTCCATGTCTGGTTGACTGCTTTCAGAAATAGAGTTAAAGAATATTAAATAAGAGAAAAAAATCTTATGATAATTGTATTTTACATGACATATTTTGAACAACATTCTCTTGTCAAGGCATTCGGGCTGGTCCATGAAAGTCATGGCAACATGGATTACATCTTCAAGGCTTGCACGATAATGGGAGGAATATACCTGTTCTACTTGACTGAGAGAATCATGCGCATACTGACAGACTGGAAGGAGGTGAGTATATGTCTACATAATAGAGAGAAGTGTACATTGACTGGATTCAAAACCATGACCCTTCTGTCCCAAAGTTGTCCGCTTTGTCCACATGACCAAAGAGGTTAACCCTGTCATCAGACTGACACTGTAAGCTTGAAATTTGTGTGATGAGTCTACAACCTAGTACCGTATGTGAGATATAGCAATCCAAAATTATAAATACACTGGTTTGATGTATTTAATAGAGGAGGAACCTGAAGAGAAAGAACCCCAGTGTTGAAAGTGGACAAGACGATGCTCCAAGTGGGCTGATGGATATCATCTGCTCAGTGAAGAAGAACACCCCTGTCAATCAGGACCAGCTGTACAAGGATGCCTCCACCCTGCCTCGCAACGTGTCCAGCAGCACACAGCAGGAACTACTGGACAAGAGCAGTGACGACTCCACGTACGGACATGACAACAACATGGTGGATGTCCAGGGAGACGAGGTAAGTGGGAGTGGTTGTACAGATACAAGACAAGAATGTTTCTGGGAAATTATGCATGAAGTCAATGTATGAGGGTTTTGAAAGGTAAGGATGATTCATTATGTCTGCTGTGCGGGACCTATGGCCAACATCCAGAATATATAGGGGGCATTGTGACCTAGTTGTTACGGTTTTGGGAGAAATTAGCTTTCAATTTAGGCTTTATAGGCACAGATTATTATAGAATAAAACAGCTAAATTGCATTGTCATGTAACTGGTATATACATGCAAATCATTCCAATGATTCATTGTTTATTCAAGAGTTTCTTTTGTCCTCAGAAATATGAAGACTCTATGCCAATGAAGTCACACGGTGACGGTCAGCACACCATCAAACCCTTGGCCTGGATGATTATATTTGGTGATGGACTTCACAACTTTATCGACGGCCTCTCTATCGGCACCGCGTTCACCCAGAGTACCCTCTCCGGCATCAGCGTGTCACTGGCGGTCATGTGTGAGGAGCTTCCCCACGAACTAGGTCAGTGTAGCATGCACACAACATTTCTTACTTCAGTGTAGCATGCATATGTGGCAGGGCGTGGAGTCCTCCCACACATGACATCTTTCCCTTTACTTAACCTCTTTGGTCATGTGGACAAGGTGCCCGACTTCAGATCAGAAGGTCCGTGGTTTGAATCCCAGCACGGGACTCGAAAAGTTTATGGACACTACATTGTCACCCAACAAAGGGCTGAGCACGTTCATTTGAAATTGGAGTAAAATAGGTCTCAGTACCCTGCTATGCAGCCCGGAACATGCCTTCTGATGGTAGGGGAGTATGTAGCAGGGCGTGGAGTCATCCCACAGATGACATCCTTACCTTGTCAGCTTGCTGACAGGGTTAACGTCTTTGGTCATATGGACAAAGCGTCTGACTTTGGATCAGAAGGTCCGTGGTTCGAATCCCAACATGGAACTCGAAAATTTTATGGCCACTACACATACAACACATCACTTACTTCAGTGTAGTGTGCATTCAACATAGACATGTATATACTCTCTGATGTGATTGACTGGTGTGAGCTGTGTACAGATGAAACTGCTATTCAGTTGGCTGTTGAGATTATAGACCAAAAACTTGATTGTTAAGAGAATTTTAATCAGCTTGAACATGCTAAAATATTGTCCAGAATCTGGTTCCATGTCTAAGCAATCTTTCTGCTTTATGCTAGGTTCACACTGTCGTACGATTCATTATGAATGCCATGATTGGACATTCATAGCTGATCGTGGAATGTCTCTGAAATTTCTGGTTTGGATAAAAGCTGATGCGAGTCGATACGTTTTGATATGATTTGTTGCGCTATTGTCATGATCTGATCTCCTGTTCAGATACGATAACATACGTTGTGATAGAATTGTCCCTATTGACTCCACGATTGGGTCGCGATCTAACACAATCATCACGAACGGGGTCCCCGATTTGGGACGATGTGGTATGTGCAGGTACGTTCTGATACGTTCATCACGAACCGATGCACTCTGTTGCGATAGGATACGCTTCTGATTGTGATGTCTTTCACAATCAACACGATTGCCACAACTGACCTCAAGATCTGATAAGATCCGATAGGATCACCATGATTAGACCACGATTAAGACCACGATTTCAGTCGTGGCGCGAATCGTGATAGTATGAACATAGCATTAACCAATATAGACAATGAACTCCCAAGTTGATGTATTTTGTATTACCAACCCACTTGACACTCACATCACATGTCCTTTAGCTCCATCTTGGATGTATGAATCCATGGTGTTTGTAACACTGTTGTAGGTGACTTTGCGATCCTGCTCAACTGTGGCATGACGGTGAAGAAGGCCCTGATGTACAACTTCCTGTCTGCCTGCATGTGTTACATGGGGCTGGTGATTGGCATCTTGTTGGGGGAGAACGCCTCCAGCCATGACTGGGTGTTTGCCGTGGCCGGGGGGATGTTCCTCTACATATCACTGGCAGACATGGTGAGTCGCACCTTTCAAGCTGACTTCTCCACTTGATCTGATGTCCGATGTTCTCGCAGTCTTGCAAAGATTTTATGCAATATTATATTTATGTATGTTATAACATAATTTTACATGTTGAAAAGAGGCTGTTAGCATAGTTTATGGAGTACAATACTCATAGTGGACAAAACAATCTAATTGATGTGATTTGTTTGCCTCATTCCATGTTGAGTCTGTATACAGTCAGGCCGCGGTAATCCGGTCCTCGTTAATCCGAATCCACCGACTTCCGAACGCTACTCGCCGGGCACCAAATCATCTCCCTATATATTGTATATAATTGACACCTCGTTAGTCCGATGATTCAGCTTCCGCCTCCGAACGCTGGTCAGTCGGAACGGATTGGACCAATTAAGTTGTAAACAGCTGCGTTAATCCGAACGATTGAAGTTGACCGCGCTGCTGACTTGTCCACCCAAAGTGACACGTTGTTTGTTTAGCGACTTACCGACTCATCCCTTTGATCCCTTTATCATAAGTGATAGGGAAATGTCGACGAACACGCTGTTTTGGGAAAGACTTCAATCCAGAAATATATGCTCGGTACCGAATTAAAATTATAAACTATTTTTCGCAATGTTATTGAAATCTACGATTCTCGGACACATGTTCAAAATAGCATTATTTTACCCAAAACTTTCGTCTAAATCTAAAAGTTTTCGTTTACGAGGACGATATCCATTGCCGTGATATGATTGGCTGCCTTAGGTCACGTGTCTGATTTTGACCAATCACGACCCTTATAGCAGACTGTAGCGAAAAAGCGTCATTAGAAACCAATTTTTATCCAATAAAATCGCTTCTTACAACTGTGAAAATACTCTCGGCAAGGGTTCAGTGATGTTGTTGATGTTCAGAGCTTTCGAACGATACCCGACATCAAACGATTAAGCCTCCATGTTATTCATCTGACGCCCGAAAAGGGGGTATTTTCCGTTGTTATGTCATGTTACCGGCGGAAAGCCACTGATATCGGAAATAGGCAACCATACATATTATTTAAGAAATCTTTTTATAATAATTTTCTGATGGCGTAAAATGAAAATATAAAAGAAAAAGGCACTGGCATGTTATGACACGTCACAAATGGAAAAAAAATCGCCATAGTTTTTGAATAACATTATAAAAATAAACTTCATATTTATCAACAGTAGGATTACAATTTCCTTCATAAACATAGGCTTCAGCTATGACCTCAGAGTCTCGATAGTAAGGAAAGATATCAAGGGGAAGTAACTCGGTGCATATACTGTGGTTTCAGCAGTACGAACGTTTCACTATCGGAAAGTTTTTTTTAAAAAACCAAAGTGTTCGTATTAACGAGGTCTGACTGTAGTATAAGAGGTGATATATCTATCCACCTTCTGTTATGATCACAGATGTTGTCCTGGTTACTTGTGTTGTTTCTAGTCACTGAGATTCCAAGTGTGATCTTACATGTTGCTGTGACAGTGTGCTGGTGTTACAGATGCCGGAGATGAACAGTGCGTCGGAAGGGGAAGGCAGTCGCAGATACGGCACAAGCAAGATATTCATCCTCCAGAACGTGGGCCTGATGACAGGATTCGGCATCATGGTTATACTTGCTATATATGGAAGTAAAATTAGCCTTGTATGATTAGATATAGCCAAAATGACAACAATACCAATAGAATAGTTAGAGATATAAACTCAGGTGCTAGTTGACGAGTGTCTTAAACCGACTTGTGAATACATGCCGCATGTCATTGTAATGCTGATGTGATTACCGTGGAATGAATTTTACTGTAGTGAGAGTTCCATTGGTCGGATGATTATTGTGAAGGTTCAAGTTGCATGGACTCTACTGATTGGATTTCTAGTTTCAAGGACGAATGTATACATTAAGGTTTAGCAGAGGGAAATGTCTATAAAGAACGAGTTATATTAAGAAAAATTTATTCTGCATGTAGGTTCAATCCTTTTCAAACAAGTAAATTTGAGGCTTAATATAGTTTAGAATCCTTGTGAATTAAGGTACAGAGTTGTCCCTCTGCTTATATCCTTGAATGTGTTTTTAGCCTGTTGACTGTGTAAACCTGTAACAATGTCTCTTAAGATATTGGTCTCTGATCAGAAAGGCTGGAATCCAAAGATTGGCGTGAAACGTTTTGTGGCAGCTAAGTCCAATATTGGATTGGACATATTAAGATACTAGCAAAATTGGTGACATTCCCGTTCTATGTGGCCTTGGATCTATGTTCCTGAGGATAACAGCCTTGCCTTGTTATCTTGTGGATGAAGTCAACCTGTTTGGTTTGGTGGAGAGAGATGGGATCAGAAAGTGCTTGATCACCAGTGATTCTATAACAGACTGGAACTGTTTACTAGGCTCCACATAGCTGTAAGACCAACTGTCTCATTATATATTCAAGCAGTATTACTTGAAATTGATTGAAGCCATAATTTCCAGCTCCCCTGAATGGAAGGTTCACTGTAGAATTTTGTCCCGGCTTTCAGTCCATTCCTCGAACAAGTTTTGTATGTTTCTATATTCATGTTCATGTATCTGTGAGGAATTGTAGTTTGTTAAAAAAATATCGACACACTGCACTTTTATTGCTTTGACTGAATAAACAACTTAATAGTTAGAACTCAATGGTTAACTCAGTGTCAGCTAGGCCTTCTAATCACCACCAATACCTTGATGATCATTAATCCGGATTAGCCGACCATGTCTCGTGTCAAAACACGTGGGACTCTCTCACTTCCCTTTACACGGTTAGCGGTAGATCAAAGTCAATTTTGTGTTGATTTAGCCGGTTTGTTTGTAAAATGTACCGTCCGGAAACGGAAACCGAATATCCGTTATAGACAGTCACTTTTATAACGTAAGAGATTGGTTTTTTCTGGGATCCGGGTATCCGAGGTTTCACTGTATATACATTGCCAGTGATGTATCTAATGTTTGCTGCACACATATCGAATAGCTATTCCTCCTTGTATGCTTCATAACCATTTTCTATAGTATTTCCATCAAACTGGTCCTGTCATGAATTGCATGGGAAGAGTTCCTGGTAACAAATCTACATATGTGGTATTACAGTCAACCAGCCTTAACCTATCACTGGACAGCATTTACAGAAGAGTTTAGTGTTGAGCAAGCACTTGCTTGTTTTCTTCTGCTTGTGTAGACAAAGGATAAGATGGTACTAATGGTACTTTACTTATAATACCAGATAGTAGTTGTATAACATTAATATAGTTGTTGTTCCACTAAGCTGTGACTGTGTCCGGGATGATAACACACTTCAACATTAGTGAAATCCATCATCATAATTGTGTCTTCATGATCATTATTGCCACGTAAGGATGACTGTACCTGATGACTGTACCTGATGACTGTACCTGATGACTGTACCTGATTACTGTACCTGATTACTGTACCTGATTAATGTCCCTCTACATGGCAGCTTTTCTTGTTTAGATGTGGGGTGAGTTGTCATAGTTGGTATTTCAGTATGTTACATTTGGATGTGTTTCAAATTTGAACGACACAGGCATTCTACCAATTTCCCTTCAGAATGGAAACACAAAGACAGATTTTCTTCTTTCCAATGTGCTTATATAATTGCCTGTGTAATGTCTGTTTTTGGTCCACACTTTCAACTTTGTTCTGTAGGCCTTGGAAATCTTTCTGTGTTTGGCTTTCTTCTTTAGCCAAAAGAGGGAAATAAATTGTTTTTTTCTTACAGATAACGTGTATGTAAATTAATTATGATGATGATGACATGTATGTTCAAAAGATTGATAATGTAAGCATGAACTTTGTGTAAAATGATCATTATTTTCTTTCAGTTTGTTTAGATCTTGTATACATATTATATGTCTGAAACAAGTTGAATAATGTACTGCCTGTGCTCAGTGCAATTTGGTGTAAACAGGCTGCTCTAGTTCATCTTTACCTGCATCAGTGCACACACACTGTTGAGGTTTAAACTTTCATTTGCTTAGTTTCCTGGGCCAGGCTTCAGACTTCTGTGTAAAATCGCATCTTGACATTTTGAAGAAAAGGTTTGTCTTATATACCACTTCACTTTTCTCATGCTAACATTTGTCATTTGTAAACACTGGGTTTGTGTGATGATGTAAATGTTGGTATGTAATATTTACATACTGTTTGGGTGAAATTAATTATTTCTTTGTATTGTGGATGTATGATAGATTTAGTTAAAACTAAATGTGTGATGTTTAGTAACTAAAGACTAAAAGTCTTACAGATGTGTGTATCCGTAGTGTGGTCACCTCGTGTTACACTAGTATATGTGTGGGTGTGGTCACCTCGTGTTACAGTAGTATATCTGTGGGTGTGGTCACCTCGTGTTACACTAGTATATCTGTGGGTGTGGTCACCTCGTGTTACACTAGTATATCTGTGGGTGTGGTCACCTCGTGTTACAGTAGTATATCTGTGGGTGTGGTCACCTCGTGTTACACTAGTATATCTGTGGGTGTGGTCACCTCGTGTTACACTAGTATATCTGTGGGTGTGGTCACCTCGTGTTACAGTAGTATATCTGTGGGTGTGGTCACCTCGTGTTACACTAGTATATCTGTGGGTGTGGTCACCTCGTGTTACACTAGTATATCTGTGGGTATGATCATCTCTTACACATGCATATCTGTTATGCATGTGTTGCTTGATATTACTGTTGATATGCATGCGTTGCATTATGTAACTGTTGGTATGCACTTGTTGCATTATGTAACTGTTGGTATGCACTTGTTGCATTATGTAACTGTTGGTATGCACTTGTTGCATTATGTAACTGTTGGTATGCACTTGTTGCATTATGTAACTGTTGGTATGCACCTGTTGCATTATGTAACTGTTGGTATGCAAGTTGGATGATATTAAAATAATGATGGGATATAACATAACAGACCTAACTGTCACTTGCCATGTGATATAGAATGATACATTGGTTACTATGCTAGATGGCATTTGTTGCTGCTATGCTCTATGACCAGATCAGCATATCAGATATGAATACTGCCATCTGTTATGCTGGGTCTGTCCACTAACAGGTCTGAGAAGATTTCACTTTTTTAACCTGCATATCCTTTAATGTTGTTTGACATAATGTTGTAGTTGGAGTCGTAGCATATTTTAATCCCTTGGGAATATAGTTTCATGTATACTGAAAGGCAAAAGAAACGTCGTAATATTAGAAATGACATTTGAGTATCAATGGAGTATCTGAACCTATTTTTTTAAATATACACCAGAAGTCAAGTTTGAGGAAACATGAATCGTGGTCATATAGCCTGCATTGCCCAATAAAGTATTGTTTGAGATTGAAGTTAGAAATGTTTTTGTTTTTTGGAGAGGGAAAAGTTCCCACAAACACAACATTGAAATCGAGATGCACGTGCATCATAAATGCATTCAGGCATAAATTGCCGGCTTGAATGGCAATCGTTCACTTGTTTTCTGAACAGGGGCCGGTGGGGTAGCCTAGTGGTTAAAGCGTTGGCTCGTCACGCCGAAGACCCGGGTTCGAATCCCCACATGGGTACACTGTGTGAAGCCCATTTCTGGTGTCCTCCGCCGTGATGTTGCTGGAATATTGCTAAAAGCGGCGTAAAACCAAACTCAGTCAGTCAGTCAGTGTTTTCTGAACACAGCAGCTATGACTAGGTTAACGAGAGATCAACCACAACAAGCTATTGGATGTCTGCACGCTGGTCAACATGCTCGAGTCATTGCTAATGACTTCAGTTGCAGCGTACGAACGATAGAACGTCTTAGAGTGCGATACAACGCCACCAGCAGCACTGATGACCGTCCACGTAGTGGTCAACTCCGTGTAACAACACGTCGCCAGGACCGTCATATCGTCCATCAACACGTGCAAGACCTATTCGCAAGGGCCAGAGAAACAGCTTGGGTGACCATAGGAAACCACCAGCGACCAGTCAGTGACCTACCATTCGGCGACGTCTCCAAGCCAGGAACCTGTTTTGTCGATGTCCTGCCAGGAGACCCATATTCACCCAACGTCACCGCCGGGAACGTATCCAAGTGGACACAACAGCGGCAAAACTGTCGTAGGGGACAATGGAGAGGGGTTATCTTCTCTGATGAAAGTCGGTACTGCATTTCAGTGGCGTATTATTTTTGAAAAAAAGGTTCAAATGTTCCATTGATACTTAAATGTCATTTCCAATATTACGACATTTCTTTTGCCTTTCAGTATATATATATGGACTTTATATATGCAGGTAGCTCCTCCACACCAAGTACTAGTGTATGTCTCATCCAGTTGTCAATATAAGAATGTTAAAAGAGCTGTTTTAATATATGTTTCACAAACTTGTAATCAAATTATTGATGCATGAAAATATTAGTAATGTCAAAAATGTGATTTTTTTTTTACATCACTAAATTGAATTTCAGTATCAGATTTTCAAAATGTAATATTGAATTAACTTCTTGTGTCATGGAAAAAATTCTAAAATGTCATACTTCAGTAAATGATTAAATTATTAGACAAGAATTCTGTTCCTCATGCTTATCCACTGACTATATTGGATATGTGTATTTAGTGGGGAGTTATATAAACAAGCTTCAGTGAATTTTATGCTGTTTAATTAAGCATAATATAACATTCTGATAATATGTTAGATT